ACTCTGCATCTTTATGAGAGGGGAAGAATGGCAAACAGCCCACATGAGAACAAATGTTATCTTTTGAAGTTCACAAATAGTATCCCTTGTGCTAAACTGTCTAGTTAGAAGGCCTTTACTTTGCGAAAGTAATTTTTTTAGCCTTAAAATATAGATAGATAGTACATTACATACAGAGGGAGATCCTCCAAGGGTATATGGGTTAAGCTACCTTAATGTGGCTTAATATGTAGTAACTGATTATATGGAAAGTATTAATACTTGGAATTTATCAGTTTGTAGAACTATATAGGACCATTGTGACTTCAAAGCTGTAGCTGTAAACACATTTCTATGGAGTGGGATATCTTTGGAGACTCAAATGTTATATCATTTGTGCCAAGTTCTTCCTGGTTTTAGTAGAAGGTTTCTTTGTTGGCCTAAAACAACAGTGTTTTAACTTCTGAAGATGCTTTGTTCATTGAATGTTATCTGAATGCTGGAAATAGAACTGTGAACACGAGTAAGCAACATTTTGTATCAAGGCCTCAAAGACATACGATACTGCTTTCTTTAAACTGAAAGTAGTCTTGAAATGTCTGAAGACCAGACCCAGACAGTGGTGAAGCCAGTAGCAACAGTTTTCTCAGAAGTCACATTTGGCAAGGCATTGAAAATGTGTTTTGTGCATGTGAACTTATAGTAATGCTTTGTTCACTAATAGATATCTAAATGTCTGGACACATGACATTGAAACAAAGTTTGAAACATCTTATCACTGATAGAGAAGGTTCTTGTACGCATGTGCCAAGGAAAGCAAAGAGATTATGACTACACATGCTCCATATCTTAAACAAAGAAAAACACAGCTGAGCATGCCTGCTTGATGTCATAGGGGAGGTCTTGATATGTCATGATGGGAGGATCATCAGAGGGTATAAAAGATGTAACACAATGTTCCTCAGTTGAGCTCTTCAGCTTGACACTGAGTTGAGAGGGTTCCCTTTATTAATAAAGCTTTCTTTCATCTTGCTACTCTGCTTTCTGCCTGTTAGTGTGACTAATTGGCTTAAGCCATGCCGGTTAAAGATGCCCCAAACTTGGGGCATTATCTGCAGTGTGACCCCTGACATCATGCCTCACCACTGAGTCCTCCAACTACTCATTGGTTTGCTCCCTGGCCCAGGGAACCTCAGTTCTGCATCCATTGGTGGCTGATCATGTTGCAGAGAGTGGCACACATGGCAAAGAGCTTGGCGACTGTCAGGTGCTGCATGGTCCCGCATCCTATGATACAGTGGAGGCAAAGGAACTGCATCTTCAGCTAGTGCTCAGGATAAGGCATCAACAAATTTGGGATGAGGGATTATCTGCGATCTCCTGGCAAGGATGGAACAACAGCATTCAGGACTATGGGCTACAGCCTGCAGTCACACACACACACCCAGCCCAGACTACTGACCCAGAAGCCATCCTTTGCCCACTGGCCCTTCAGCCAATTTGTGTTTGAGGCCTGATGCCATAAAGACAGACCCAGCCATGGACAGCTTCAAGAGGGAATTGGATAGACATATGGAGCAGAGGTCCATCAGTGGCTATTAGCCACAAGGTATAGATAGGGGCTCTGGGGCAAGTGATGCTCTGTCTTCTTGGTGCTGGGGGGGCAACAGTGGGAGGGCTTCTAGTGTCCTGGCCCCACTGCCGGACCTCCTGATGGCACCTGGTATTTTTGGCCACTGTGTGACAGAGTGTTGGACTGGATGGGCCATTGCCGTGAGCCAACATTGGCTTCTCTTATGTTCTTATGTTCTTAAGATCTGAGCATCATGCACACTGCTCAGAAACATGGCCAAGAGGTCCATGAAAATGAACCTGGGGGTTGCAAGTCACCTAGAAGTTGAGGCTGCAGAAATAAGGCTGTTGTGGTACACCTGTGGCTCTGCACTGGGAGAAATAAGGGCAATTAGGGTGCAGTGCATGCCACACAGAACCTTTGGGAAGCCTGTGACCTCAGCAAACCCTACCTAGATGGGTGCCAGCTTCGTCTCTTCTATTCGGAAGTTAACATGCTCTTACAAGCGGCCCTGCATGGCATCAAGGAAGCTGTGCAGGTGGCAGCTCAACAGTGACACCTCCAAGGCGCACGGAACGCTTGGAAGGTTTCAGTGGTCAGGAATCTGAGAAAGGGCAGGACCTTCTTAAGACAGGGATGGCATTGGGGGCAGCAGCTTGGTTTGGAGAGCTGGCCTAAGCTCCTCACACGTAACTGACAGCCCCCCTTTCTTCCTTTTTGGTTTGGACATCCTTGTTGCCTTTTGCAGGCACAGCTCAAGAGAGAGAAAAAACCTAGGCATACAAAATTGGGACACTGTCTTTTCCTTCCAGTCTCGCCCAGTCATATTCCATAAAACAAACAGTTTTTGAACATTCCACCGATGGATAGATCCTTTTATTATGACAGACTAGGGGATCCCCCTCCACACTCGTTCTGCTTTCCAACCATGTAGCACCCTTTGCGCAACATTTTTATGGTACTTTAAGTACTGAAGGAAGAAGCAAAAGCAGGAGAGAGAATCTTTTGTTGTTCAGCTGGAGGCAACATTTAATTTATAACAAATGCCATGCCCCGTTTTTCTTGCCAATGGGCCCCCAAAAGCTGTTTAGAGTGTTCTCCAGTCCTCCAAAGGCATCAACAAATTTGGGATGAGGGATCATCTGCGATCGCCTGGCAAGATTGGAACAACAGCATTCAGGACTATGGGCCCCAGCCTGCAGTCACACCCCCAGCCCCCAGCCCAGACTACTGACCCAGAAGCCAGCCTTTGCCCACTGGCCCTTCAGCCAATTTGTGTTTGAGGCCTGATGCCATGAAGACAGACCCAGACATGGACAGCTTCAAGAGGGAATTGGATAGACATATGGAGCAGAGGTCCATCAGTGGCTATTAGACACAAGATATAGATAGGAACTCACAGGCTGGGGCAGGTGATGCACTGTATTCTTGATGCTGGGGGGGCAACAGTGGGAGGGCTTCTAGTGTCCTGGCCCCACTGCCAGACCTCCTGATGGCACCTGATATTTTTGGCCACTGTGTGACAGAGTGTTCGACTGGATGGGCCATTGCCCTGATCTAACATTGGCTTCTCTTATGTTCTTATGTTCTTAAGATCTGAGCATCATGCACACTGCTCAGAAACATGGCCAAGAGGTCTATGAAAATGCACCTGGGGGTTGCAAGTCACCTAGAAGTTGAGGATGCAGAAATAAGGCTGTTGTGGTACACCTGTGGCTCTGCACTGGGAGAACTAAGGGCAATTAGGGTGCAGTACATGCCACACAGAACCTTTGGGAAGCCTGCGACCTCAGCAAAGCCTACCTAGATGGGTGCCAGCTTCGTCACTTCTATTCGGAAGTTAACATGCTCTTACAAGCGGCCCTGCATGGCATCGAGAAAGCTGTGCAGGTGGCAGCTCAACAGTAACCGGAACACCTCCAACTGTGACCAGGACACCTTGACACCTTGGAAGGTTTCAGTGGCCAGGAATCTGAGGAAGGGCAGGACCTTCTTAAGACAGGGATGGCACTGGGGGCAGCAGCTTGGTTTGGAGAGCTGGCCTAAGCTCTTCACACATAACTGACAGCCCCCCCTTTCTTCCTTTTTGGTTTGGACATCCTTGTTTCCTTTTGCAGGCACAGCTCAAGAGAAACTAGGCATACAAAATTGGGACACTGTCTTTTCCTTCCAGTCTCGCCCAGTCATATTCCTTAAAACAAACAGTTTTTGAACATTCCACCGATGGATAGATCCTTTCATTATGACAGGCTAGGGGATCCCCCTCCCCACTCGTTCTGCTTTCCAACCATGTAGCACCCTTTGCTCAACATTTTTATGGTACTTTAAGTACTGAAGGAAGAAGCAAAAGCACGAGAGAGAATCTTTTGGTGTTCAGCTGGAGGCAACATTTGATTTATAACAAATGTCATGCCCCATTTTTCATGCCATGATCACTACATCAATCTCCGTGGTTTCTTCATGTGTTTTACCCACTACACTTCACATGTAATGTAGTAAGGATGATGAGGTGTGACTGGTCCAAGTCACCCAGCACGTGTCTGTGGCTGAGTCAGGATTCAAGCCGGACTTTCCTGGATCCCAGTCACACACCCCAAATACTACAACACACTGGCTATGATAGCTCAGTGAGGTTCTCACCCCCTTTGTTTTGTAAAGAGGAGATATGTTCCACCCTCCCTGTCTGTGCTGCCTGTCTACTCAAGGTAAAGGTAAAGGTTCCCTTGCTTGAAAGCCAGTCGAATCCGACTCTAGGGTTGCGGTGTGCATCTCAGTTTCAAAGCCGAAGAACCAGCGCTGTCCGAAGACGTTTCCGTGGTCATGTGGCCGGCATGACTAAACACCAAGGCGCACGGAACGCTGTTACCGTCCCACCAAAGTGGTACCTATTTATCTACTTGCAATTTCTTGCTTTCAAACTGCTAGGTTGGCAGTTGTCTACTCAAAGGGGACCTAAAATGGCTTAGATTGTGCTCTTCTCCTCATTTTATCCTCACAACAACCCTACAAGGTAGGTATGGTTGAGAGAGTGTGATTGGCCCAAAGTCAGCCAGGATCCTTTTGTGATACCTCCTTCATCCTAGCCTGACCTTCTAAACACTATACTACAAAGGTCCTCATAGAACAGTGAAGTGGTTCAAGTCCTATTGTTTCATCACAGAGGAAATATTTTCTTCTCCATATTGTGTGCTGTCTGCACTTTCCTGCCTTCTTGTAAGCAACGTTTTGATTTCTTTGGGAATTGAAGAGAGATTTTGCAGAGATATTCTGTGTCAGGATGGACAACTCTTAATAATTTTTTGTACTACAAGTCCCACCAGCATTCTGAAGCTGATTGTTACTTGGGTGATCCCAAGCTTTCGTTCTGTGTGCTAAATATGGACAGACGGACAAACTGAGAGATGGAGCCTTTTATGACAGATTACAGTTGTAACCATAGTAATTCACATTATTTCCCTTTTATTCTTATCAGATGTTCTCTGTTGTTCAGCTCAGGTCGCAGCAAAATAATGTAACATTTGGGGACAAAGATGCAACCCAGAAGGCCAGCACTGGAGGCTAAGATAGAGAAGATCTCTATGGCCACCATGGATTTTCCCTTGGTGCTCAGGTAGGTGGGAACAAAAGACAACCAAACGCTGCAAAAGACCAGTAGACTGAAAGTGATAAATTTGGCTTCATTAAAACTGTCTGGTAACTTCCTGGCCAAGAAAGCCACCACAAAGCTAACAATGGCCAAGACGCCCATGTAGCCCAGGACACAGTAAAACATGGGGACAGACCCCACATTGCATTCCAGTACAACAGCTTCAGTCTCTGAGTGCATGTCAACATCCGGAAATGGGGGGGAAGTTGCGAGCCATGCAAAACAAAGGGCTGCTTGGAAAAGGGAGCAGGAAATCACAATGGAGTTGCCCACTCTTTTCCCCACCCACTTCCTCAGGCTGCTTCCTGGTTGGATGCTTAGGAAAGCCAGGACCACCACGATCGTTTTTGCCAGCATGCAAGAAATGGCAACTGAGAAGATCATGCCAAACATGGTTTGTTGGAAGAGACATGACACCTGTTGTGGTTGACCAATGAATAGCAAACCACAAAGGAAGCAAAGGAGGAGGCAGATCAGGAGAGAATAGGTGAGGTTCCTGTTGTTGGCTTTGACAATGGGGCTGCTGTGGTGCTTTATAAAGACTCCTAGCACCAAGAGGGTGATGGAAGAAAAGGAAAGGACAAAAGCCACTAAAGTGATCCCCAAAGGTTCTTCATGGGACAAGAAAGTGACATATTTGGGAATGCATTGATTTTGTCCCCTGTTTGGATAGTGGTCTTGTGTGCAAGTCATGCACTCAAGCAAGTCTGTAAAACAGAGAAACAAGGAGGGAAAGTGGGTTAGCTTCAGTGTTATTTGTATCCCATAATTTTTCTCATAACCCACACTTCTAGAGGATTCTTTGATGGGTATTACAGCATCTGTATTTTACTCCGCAACCATTCCCTGCTTACATCAGCTTGTTGCTAGTCTGGGCAGTCCCATGTAAAAGCACATGATGTATTTATTTTATTCTCCTTTTGAAATACTTTCCTATTTCTTTCAGATAGTATTTTTTGGGGAAAAAGAAATTCTGCTCACTTGATGACACTGCAATGTACCCCCACCTTGAGGCTGCTAACAGAGAACCAATATGATTTAGTTGGTACAATGCTGGATGAGGACTGTGAGGCCCATTATGCCATGGAAACTCACTTGGAGACCTTGGGACAGGCATTATCTTTCCTGCCCGCATCTGTTCTTTCTGAGGCTTACACTAGACACTGCCCACACATTGTAAGGGTCCCCTGCACATCCACTGGCAGAACAATTACTTTGCACAGTAAAAAGCCTCAAAGAGACATTGGTGTATTCCCATAAATCTACATGATGATTTCTATGATTCCTCAGAACAACTGAGGGCCAATCAAAAAAGAAAGGGTGGCCCAGAGCAGCCTCACCAACTGCAGCCACCCGAGCTGTATGTGTGGTGGGGGGAAAGGTTTTTTTTTTTTTTTACAGAAAACGGCGAGGGGCTGCTGCAATCCGCTCCACCAGTGCAAGCCTCTGCTGGTGGCCTACGTGCTGCTGCCGCCGCTGCCAACTAGCTGCCTCCATGCGATCGAGCCACCAACAGTTCCTCGGTCAAGCAGCTGTTCTCGCCACCGCCTAATTTGAGCTGCTGTCATCAGAATCGGACCAAGACCGGTCCGCCTCCACCATGCAAGGCCGCAATAAGGCCGGCCCCAGCAGCTATCCTCTGCATGCTCTGACTGCGAGCATGTTGGAGCAACTTTCATTGGGTGGAAGCGGAGCCTGGCAGTTTATCTAAGCTGGCTCCACCCCCCACCCACATCACGATGCCCAGGCATCATGACTCTGTTGCTGCTCGGCTTCCTCAGGGTGGCAAAGCAGCCCCTGGCGACCAGCGGTGTTGCTGGGTTGACGGGAGCTTTGTTATCTTTCCCAATCTAAGCAAGCCATAGGTTTCTGCTGAGGATAAAGGAGAGGAGGGGGAAATGAAGTTGGTAGCTTCTTTAGGTCACCATTGAGGGGAAAAGTGGGGATATAAATATTTCAAATAATATTATAAATATTACCTAGACTTACTTATATTAAAGAACAAACATGTATGATTACCACCTCTACTGAGTTCATTGTCCTAATGTATATCATTGCATCCCAAACCAAATCAAATTAAATTGTTTTGATTAATTAATTTCTATCTATTTATGTATTTATTCTGCTGCACAAAGTTTCTGTTGTGTGGAGGAGGAGGAAAGGGATTGTAAGCCGCTCTGAGACTCCTTCTGGTAGTGATGGAAAGGGTATAAATGCAATATTTTCTTCTTCTTCCTTGGCAGAGCAGGGATAAGTTCCAGGGTTTCCCCAGGCCTCCTCCAGCACTCCCAAGTACTGCTCCACACCAGCTCACATCTTACCTTTGAACAGTGAAACCATGCTTAGGTTCGGACTGTCAATCTCTTACCCTTCTGATTGGAAATCTTCCCTTCTGGACATGGAAAGCAGTCATAGCAGCAGAATGGCTCCCCCTCCTTCATTCTTTTCCGAGAACCTGAAAGGCAACTTTCACTGCAGACTGAAAGGGGCTGTGTCTAATGTACAAATGAGACAGGAAAACCTTCAGTCAGTAACAAATCTAAAACTATGTTATCTTTGTTTCTTCAGATTACTAATGGTCAATGGCCTGGAACATTCACTTCTCATCAGTGGTGTGGAGTGCATTTCATTCTTTCACAATCTTATGTTTAATTAGTCCTGCAGGGTTTTCAGATCATGAAAACAATAAAGAATGACACCCTCCATCCTTTCTCTTTTCCCAGTCTGTGTATATACTCAAGCTTTCAAATGTCCAGAGTTTTTATGATGCCTAGAATGAGTGGAGTGAGGGAAGATAATGTGGTGGATCTGACCTCCAAACTGTTCCCTCCCCCCGGGGGACTAATCTTGGAAGTCTAGAGATCGTTGGTGTCTTAGCAGAATTCCAGGCCCCACCTTGAGGTTGGTAAGGGAGTTGAGAGGTTTGAATAGGATACCATTTCTAAAAAATGTGCACAGAGGACATGTCACATCAGAAAGACACTTTGATCAGAAAGATTCTGCTCAGAGCACAGTTTATTCACATATTGTAAGCAGCACCCTCAAAATTAAAAACAACAATAAGAACAACTTGTTGTGTCCATCTTAGTTCTAAATCAGTCCTATGGGGGTGCAGTTGGCTGGCTAAAGCAGAACAATCTGAAAAAAAACTGAAACTGAATCAAGACAATGCTGGTTGGGAAGGCTGATCTTCTAGAGGGATTGAATCCACTCGTCCTGCTTTTTCAGAGCAGATTAAATGATTTGGAGTGCCTTTCTGTTTGAAAAACAGGTTGGCATGTTGGCCAGGAATATCTTCTATTAGCTGCTTCTGATTCCCCTGCTTTCTCATTACCTAGACTCATCTGACCTGGCCATGCTTATCCATACTCTGAAACATCATTGTTGGATTACTGCATTGGTGTGTGTATGTGGGGCGGCTGTCCTTGAAGACAACCTGGAAATTACAACTGGTTCAGAATGCAGCAGCCTGACTGTCAGGTTCTAGCCAGAGAGAATGTAAGTTGCCCATTGTGAAATGGCTATGTTGGCTGCCAGTCTGTTTCCAAGTTCAAGCCAACGTGCTGGTTGTGATCTTTAAAGTCCTTCACAACCTTGAACCCACATACATGAAGAACCTTCTATATGTCCCTGTGGATGAACTACAATAATCAAGCAGCCACCTGTTGGCTATCCCACCACTCAGGGTAGCCTGCCTGGCATCAGCCAGAGCTTGGGACTACTCCCTCCTGGGTCTGTGGAATAGGCTCTCTGAATAGGTGAGGGCCCCCCCTCCCTGGAAATCTTCAGGTGGTGCTGTAAGGTCTGCCTGTTAGTAAAGGTTTTGGAGGGGGGTTAAATGGCAGGGATCTTTCAACAGGGGGAAAAGAAGGAATCTGGAGCCTTATATGTTATCTTTGTTTTTCGATGGTGATATTTCAATTATTATTGTATTCCACCTGAATCCAAGAAGTAAGGCAAGATGTGAATTTTAAATAAATGAATAAATTTAAAAAACTTGGGGTTGTCTGCAGCTAAATTTTCCATACCACCTCACCTTATTCTTATTATAGCCCCCAGTGACAGGTCCCACGATCTGCAGTATCAACTTTGGTCAA